ATCTCAGCCGGGTTACATTTCTATACTGTGCTGATACCTTTAGTGCTCGTTCACACTATGAGGGGGATTTATCAAAACTGGAGCAGTTGCTCATAGCAACCAATCCGCTTCCATCTTTCCTTTTTAATGCTTAACTCAGGGGTAGGCAACTGTGACCCCCCCAGCTGTGCTTTAACTATTGTAACAAGGACACTCCATTGTAGTCCAGGTAAGTCAAGTAAAATGCAGTTTATTGAAAGGGCAAACACAAAATAGCTTGCAGCAGCAACATAAGACAGTCCTTGTTATGGCTCTGTAGCTTTCCTCAGCTTCAAGACACTCACGCTGCTCACCCCTCGTGAGCCCTCACTCTGCTCTCTTAGCAGTCTGTACCGCAGGTCCTAGGGTCACCGACCTTCCTGACCTCTCCCAGCCACCCCTGGCTGTTCCGTGTGCGTCTCGCATGCACCCGAGGTGGTCTGTGTCCGTGTGCTCCCTGCACACAAACAACTCCAACACTCCCCTGAGCACTCGGCTGGCTTCCTGATAAGGCTGCTCTCAGCCACCTGATTAGCCCAGGCTGCTCATTGGCAACACCTGGCCCCAGGACTGGAGATCTCATCCCACCCAGAGCTCTACGAAATCTCCAGAGCTCCAGATCCCAGCTGCAAATAGGAAAACCTGGAATAACCTGAAAAGCCAGGTTCTTCCTTATAACCTGCTTTACTTTCTGGACCCTCTCAGCCCCTTTGGCTGAGAGTCCTGGGTGCCAAGGTCGCCATCCTCCACCGTGGCATTGGCTTACACTGCCAAACTACAAATACCAACATGCTTCTGGGGGACATGCCTGTAACTGTCAGTCTTGCAGTGCCTCATGGGACTTGCAGTTCCACAACCGCTGGACGGCTGGAGTTGTCCACCACTGTCTTTAATGAACAAACTGAACAGAGAAGCTGATCGGTTGCCATGGGCAACTTCTCCAGATTCTGTCTGTTACATTTTTGATACATTCCCTTCGATGTGCAGTGACCTGCGTCTTTCTGGATAAGAACAACACAGATCACTGCTTGGGCACACAAAACAATTGTTTTCTATGTGCCTTGTTCACACTGAAATGCTGGCTTAAAGCATAAAAATACAGACATGCTGATTATTTTCCACACCACATCAGAGCTCATCTGAAGCCACCAGCATTGCACCTCAGCAGTGGTACAATCATTAATTAATTAATTTTAGGTGTCAGTTTGTGACATTTTGATAAAGTTTTAAAAAGAAAAAAAATTTAAACATTGTGATGTACTGAAAGAGCACAAAGCGCTGCCCTCCGCCTGTACACAGCGGACACTGGGACACTAGTGCAGGCATCCCAACCTGAAATAATTCATTTCAGGGAGGTGCCTTTCTCATTTCAGGGAGGTGCCTTCTTCCGCCCCCCCACCCCACCATCTTTGGGGTTGGGGGGAGAGGGCACCTCCCTGAAATGATGGTGGCAGATAGCAGAGAAGCTAATGCTTCCCTTGCTATCTGCTGTTTGTTTTTGTATTCTGACAACTCCTACCATCAGAGTAAAAAAAAAAACAGCAGATAGTATAGGAATGAATAGCTAGATTGCTATTGGCTATTTCAATGTGCAATAGCCAATAGCGAGGTGGCTAATGCTCCCGCCCACTGCTGCTGTCAATCAGCAGAGGAGGACCTGATGGAGAACTTCAGGTCCACCTCTGCTGATTGACAACAGCAGAGGGCGGGTGCAATAGCCAGCCTGCAATTGGCTATTGCAAATTGAAATAGCTAATAGCAATCTAGCTATTCATTTCAATGCTGTCTTTGTTTTGTTTTTTACTCTGAAAGCAGCCAGTTCCAGTCAGAATAAAGAAGAAAAAACAGAAGGGAAAGCTTTACTCTGCTAGATATGCTAGAATGTTTCTCTCACACGGGTATCCAGGAGCCGCTATTTTATAGTGGGAGAGTCCCAGAACGTCCGGGAGAGTTGATATGTCTGTTAGTGTGAACAGGCCCTGTGAACCAGTCATATGCAGTATATAAAGTAAAGATACAGCAGGGTTCTGTAGTGCAAAGTTCACATAGAAATGTGATTATTTACTGGGGGAACTTTTCAAGATTGGATCAGACAAAATCTGGGGCAGTTACCCATGGCAACCAATCAGCGTCTCTCTTCAGTTTGTTTGAAAATGAAAGAGAGAAGCTGGTTGGTTGCCAGGGACAACTGCTCTAGATTTTGTCTGCTCAAGGTTTGATAAAGTCACCTCACTAAGCCTAGTAAATTAGGTTATTTTACTTCAATCATCTTCAAATTCTGGTGTATTTCTGCTGCTAGGTAGCTACAGGTGCTGCATGCAGCCTTCCATAAAAATCAGTGGCATACGCAGGTGAATGATCCCTGCAATGCACACTGTGCGCGACCCATAACACAGTCTGTACGCATTTGTGTGTTTTATTGCAAGTTTGGTGTGTATCCACATACAGCCATTAACTTGTATAGGAGGCTGTATGCAGTACCTGGGGCTCACTGGTGGCAAAAAAACAACATAAATTTATGTTGCATGGCCAGAGGCGGGACCTTTATCTGTGGACAGGAAACAACTGACAAACTAGTGTTAACAAGCCAAAACAACTAAAAATCTCTCTCTCTCTCTCTTTCTGGTCATTTTTGCAGTCAGTTGAGTTACAGCAGTGGTGGGGAACTCCGGCCCTCCAACTCTGCTTTAACCACTTGAAATCCAGGGTGTTAAACCCCCTTCCTGGCCAGACCATTTTTTAGAGATCTGCTTCATCTGCTTTATCAGTTTCTCACCGGCATCTGTAACCATAGAGTGACCATGGATGCAGGAAGTGATGTAAAATACTGTCAATAACTGTCAGTCTTGCAATGCCTCATGGGACCAGCTGGAGGGCTGGAGTTAGCCACCCCTGGGTTACTGTAATGTGCCTGAACACAAATGAGACTTCTTGTTTTGTCACACGCTTACAAACCTTGGTCACAAAGGGGTTAATGAAGGATACCGTGAAGCTTCAAAGAATATTAACTTTTGCCATGATATAGACCGGAATTACTATCAACATCTCATAAACATAAAGCAATTTTTCTGTTGCCATTGCAAGGCATTAATGTACGTGTGGCCCTTTGCTAATATATTGTTCCCAGTAAAGTTTTGTTGACATGAAAACACAAAACAGCTAACTAAAAATATTGTTTAATGTATATAACCGTTTATTTATTAAACACAATTGCGGTATGTGTGGTAAATAATGCGCTTCCAATGCTAACGCTGCTCGCTGTGGATTAAACTGAGTGGGAGATCGATGACTGCAGCTTGAAACGCAGCTACAGCCCCTCAGACTCAAAGTCAGAATGACTCAAGACGTTAATGACTTTCATATTGAATTTTTTCTTCCTTGCCTTCATTACTCTTTACATCCTCAGCGAAGGCATTTTTAATTACATTTTGTGTTACTGTTACTTTTTCATGCCACAAAATTGTTACCAAAGTTTATTTTCTATATATTGCGTAATGTTATATTATTATAAGGTACTAAAGTCCTGCACGGGATACGGGATATTCTATGTGTAAGTGAGTTTCTTACAGAGGTGGGGGGGGGCAACAAACTAAGAGGATAAGGACCTATTGTGTCCCATGAAACGAGTTTGCTAGTAAGGTGATTACTTAAAATAGGGATAGGTAACATTGGCACTTAAGCTGTGGTGAACCCACAAATCCCGTCATGCCTCTGCTCACGGGAAACATGCCTGTGGCTTTTAGAGTCTTGCAATGCCTCATGGGACTTCTAGTTCCAGAACAGCTGGACTGCTGAGGTTGCCTCGCTCTGACTTAAAGTATAACTAAAGGCCCCACTGTTTTTTGGATGAGGGAGTACAACCACTGTCTGATTTTTATTGCTGTTTTTATCCCCATAAGGGACGTCACTCTTTTTAAATGTCCTGATCACCGTTGTCACTGAGATTGAAAGTGAGGGAAAATCCAAAACTCTGAGTTGCTACTAGAAAAGAAATTGAGGGGAAATCTTCCAATAGGGACACTTGTTCCCATTAAAACTGTCTAAGAGGGAATTTCTCTCACAATGGAAAGATATCTTCTCACTTCCTGTTGAGTCTACAGGACAGGAAGCGAAGGGAAATCTCCCTAATTAAACACAGATGGCAAAAAAAAAAACCTTAAACAGATTTTAGACCTACCCTACTCTAAACAAAATTGAAAACATGGCTTTAGATATAGTTTAAATGCCAACACCACCTATAACGTTTATTTTAGTATTGAGTAAAGTGGGGAAAGTTCCAAACCTCTATCCCTGTTTGGGCAATTTCCCCTCACTTCCTGTTAATCTGACAGTTGTTAGCACCCACTTGTGTCACAGACAATGATAAAGTATTTTTTAATAATAGAATAAGGAAGGGTTAGAAATGTCCGTCAGAATTTTATTCCCTCTCGCTCTCTGTACAGCTTACAGATCTCAGACAGAGCAGGAAGTGAAGGGAAATCTCTTCAAAATGACACAGACACTAATACACACCTAAAAGGATGTACGTCTCCCCTTTACTTTATTCAGCACTTAAACAAAAGTTGGAAATTTTTTTCCCCATTCACACCTTGGCGTATGCACACATTTGGAAGTGTTTGCACGCATTTTTTCCTGCGTTTGCCACACGTTCCCATTGATTTCAATGGGTGCCCTGTGTGTGACGAATGCGGAAAAGTAGCTCATGTAGCAGATTCCCCACATTTTTTTCCCGCACAAGTAACGGCACTGCAAGTGCATTGCAGATTTTTTATGCGTTCTGTATTTTCCCACGCTTGGCGCACATTCACGGAACCCCTAAGTGTGAATGGGGACTAAAGGCACTCTGGTAACGCTTACATAGCAGAGAGCTGAAATGTATTTTTGTTGCAGTTATTTATACACTTTAAATTTGATAATATTATTGTTATTATATTTATTGAGCAAACTGTTTGAAACATTGACATGTGCATTGTCCTCTACAGGAATCATTAAAATTGGCCGCTGGAATCCATTGCCTCTCAGTTATGTTACAGACGCACCAGATGTGACGGTTTCTGACATGCTACAGGATGTCTATCATGTGGTGACACTGAAGATCCAGTTACAAAGGTAGGCGTCAAGGTTGTGGAAGCATTGTCCTGTTTACAAGCCCTCATAGGCCTCGGCCTTTTGTGAGGGCGACAACCTGCCCTTTCCTTCATCATCTTAGCACATGTCACATCATAACATCTCGTAGTGCCTCTCTAGAAAACTGTTCTCATTATTGTGATAAGACCTTTTGATATGTGGCTACAACTACATTTGTCGTGGGGGAAACAGAGGTTGCTGTTGCTGATTGTTCCTTCTGAAAATGCTAGTTTCAGATTTTTCTTCTAATCTGTATAGCTGTACTGGGTCAGAAAGTATTAAAGGCAGTAGATCAGCATTACAGACAGGAAACTGTCACTTCCAGTAATAGGTTATCAATGGCAGATCTTGCATTTCTCTCATGACAGGTTTAATTTTTGCTTTACTTGTCACTATTATAAACAAGCTTACTTGGTTCATTCAGTACTGATTGTCCTATTAGAATAAGGACTTCAGGGGTGCCATCCAGCAACCCCATCTCTTTGGTGTATTTCTCTACAATAAAAGTATTCAAATGTGAAAACCTAAAGTGCATCTAAAGGTCAAAACTTTGTACTTTTGTATTGAACAGGGAAGAGTTAAAACTCTCGTTGTTTCTCTTCTTTTGTTGCCATCCTTTTTCCACTGGGGAGATTTCTATTTACGTTCTGTCTATTAAACACAAAAATCTCTCCAAGGTAAGGGAAAGCCTCTCTTAGACGCACCACACATTACAAGTTGACGGTACAATCTCTGTACAATCAACTTTAAATCTACCAAAAATATGTAATTTGCAATTGTAATTAGGACCTACCTAAACTTTCCATTCAATCTGTATGGAATCTTGCAGACCGCTGCACTACTTACTTGTTGGTAGATCTAATAGAGGCAACTCAAAATGTTGGATTTTTCATCACTATCATTACCAGAGACAATGGTCAGTAGAACACACAGAGAGCTTGGATCTCTCCAGCAGGATACAGACAGGAATAAAAACCCAACTGGATTGCTAACCCTTCCCTACTTCAGCCAAAACTTAAAAAAGGGTTTAGGTTAATTTTCAATATGGTAGTTTTAGTGATATGTATTCAATCTAGATGTAATGCTTGCGTGCTAGCGCTGTACTTCTTACATACTAACATATGGATGCCTTTCCAAAATGTAAAGTCTGCTCTAATTTTAAGTCCATCTCAAACCTAGTCAGATTAAGAATATGATGAAAACATCTCATAAGCAGAGGTTATCTTCAATGTAAAAAGTGTGTTGGGGCTAACAAGGAGGGGTGCAGGCATAAAGCCCGAGCCACTCTTCTAAACTGGGAAAACGGAGCAGATCCTGCTTCTAATTAACAAAGGAGGATCAAACCCCTTTGTCATTTAGGAGCGATCTGCTCCATTTTCTATGCCGTGTCTGTGCCAAAATCAGTCATAGCAAAAAGGAGCACTGGAGTTGCTTGCTCCTTTGCTTGTCGCCTTCCTCTGTCCACCCCTCAGCTGAGAGCAAGAGGGATGAGGAAGGCTAGTAACCCTGAATTTCCCTGGGTTAGCGATCAGGCATATAGGCAGGCATCAGAGCTTTCCCTGCCTATGTGCAGGCTTTGCCCCTGTAGTGTGTTATTGCCCTGTCGAGAGAGGTATATGAGCTGTCCGTCAGTTTACCGGTAGACAGTTCGCATTCAGTATGCCAGGTCCGATCTAACGGGGATTTGTATTGAATAGGGAAGGGTTAAATTTAATTTTGCTGTGATCCTATGTTAATTTTCCTCTGAAAAAGAAACTACCGTGGATGGCGCATATAGAGCTGAAACAGGTTTATCTGCTTTGTTATTGTGGCACATGCCACTCGCAACAGATTCATGCTCCATTGTAATGGCGCAGTAAGCTATGTCAGTTCCCCAAGCCTGTCTGAATGATCAGTAGATCCCAAGATATAGTTGATGGGGCTGACAGGTACATTTTTATACTGCTCTCATTATTTCCAGTAGAAGGCAAGCTTGGCCCTACCCAACTAACCATCTTTAATGTGATGGAAAGCTTCAATGATCAGTAGGCAGGCTTTGGCGGCAGAAGAGGTGGAGCTAAGCTCAACTTTTACAGATGTCCAGATTTGCATATAACTTCAGCTGCCTCTATCTCAAGACCTACCAATTGTTTTGACATGCACATTTCACTGAAGGTAACCTCTGCCTATTCATATTTCCATCTTGTGCTTAGTCTGAATTGCTCAGGAGCAGGGGTAGCCGAACTCCGGCCCTCCAGCTGTGGTCGAACTACAAATCCCACGAGGCATTGCAAGATTCTCACAGCCACAGACATGACTCCCGGAGAGATGCATCATGGGATTTGTAGTTTCACCACAGCTGGAGGGACGGGGTTTGGCTACCCCTGCTCAGGAGAGTGGCTGGTTTACTTTAACTAATAAAACAGCAGATCTTTCTATCATTAGCACACTAGAAAAAGAATCAATGGCTTAGAGAGAACGTTGCTGGCTTGAAAAACTTTAATGTTAAAAAAAAATACCGTAACAAATGATGTTATATTATTAGAATGACCTTTTCTGCATTCCATTTTCATTCATCTGGTTCTGTGTTCTATTCAGCATTACTGCAATTCATAATCTGAACGATTATGTCTTCCTTTTTGGCTAAGAGAAATGCGAGTTTTATATGTCTGGCATTGTGTTCCCTTGTGCGTATTTGATATTTCCTGAGTAACGTTTCTCTCTGTAGTTGTTCAAAACTTGAAGACCTGCCGGCAGAGCAGTGGAACCACGCCACTGTCCGCAATGCCTTACGTATGCTGCTAAAGGAGATGAATCAGAGCACACTTGCCAAAGAATGCCCCCTCTCCCAGGTCAGTACAGCACACAATTTTTTTAATGACTTCTTAGGACCTAATAAGTTCTATTGATTTTCTTGCTGCAAACACTGTACTCTGATGTATCTATCGACCGGACTGCACTTATTAATTAATCTTTTTCATTATTACATTAGCAACTTTATGATATTCAAAAATACATACAAATCAAGTGACAATACTATTATTGATATTTTATGACATGCCAATGATATTGTATTAAAGCTGAACTCCGTGAGAAATAAAAGCGCCCCGAGCTTAAATGCTCGTTTTGTCTAAGGGGAAAATAAAAAGCAACTTTACCTTATTCCTAGGTGAGTCGAGGGAGATAAACATTTCAAAGCTTGTACAATATACAATGTAGATAGATACACATTCAAAGCAGTAAGTTATAAATCCCTAATGAACCCACACTTTTTTTTAAAGAAACTGTCATTAAATTGGTGCATCCTTATTGGCTAGTGTGTCAGTCCATCCTATTAATGGGCCATTGGGAATATAGGGGCAAGGTAGCTGCAAGTTTCAACACTTCCTAGAAGCGCTGGAGCTTTGCATGTGAAAATGGTTTAGGATGTAGCCATAAGGGGCAGAGTATTGGAAGCTGTCGCAGGCACCTCTAATAGGCATTTTTTTTTGAGGGGTAGTAATGACATAACCTTCTGAACCCTGAGTCTACTGCCGTTTCTCTGTTCAGATGAGCATAGGCAGACATGACTGGATAGTGTAGGCGAACAGCAATTACTAGCTAGCTTGAGGATGACTGCTGATATTTCTGTGCATGCTCCAGTATTTATGCATTCCCCAAAGCAATCCTTTTACTGTGTATTCACCCAATGCTCATTCACTTGGTACTCAAGTTATAGAATTCCTGCATCAGCTCAGACATCAGAGGATTCATGAAGGTGGAGGGAAGGGGGCTGTGTAAGGAAGGCAAAACAGTGATTGCTTATTATTAGGGATCTCTATGGGGTCTCACACATTTTCATGTATCAGCTAGAGCTACCAGGCAAAAAGCACGTAACATGATAAGAAGAAGAAAATTAATTTACTGTTTTGGCTCAACAGCCTTGTTCAGGTCACAAAATGGCTCATGCAGAACCCTTGCCAAAACTAGTTTTAGGTAGAATGTGGAGAATAACATGTCTCTATTTCTAAATGTATATCTTGAGAGGTGGGAGAAATTTTCCCGTACTTATTGTCAATGGAACAGGAAGTAAGCGGAAATCCCTCCTATGGGACCACAGCCAGCACATAAAACATAACTGGGATTCTAACCTTTTGCCATCCATTTTCCAACAAATCTAAGTAAAAAAATGTGTTGGCTGAAGGTGCCCTTTAAAGCAGACATTGTAAGAAAATGCAAGGTCTTCTTATCTAGGAGTCCCCAACAACCTGATTTAAAACACTCAGTGAAAGGCATAAATAATTGAAAGTAAAATGTTACTGATATCCAGCTTACACCCCAATTCCCCTAACTTTGGAGAAATTTAACTTCCTGTGATGTCTACCAATCAGGAAGTGAAGGAAAATCTCCTGACAAAAGCGTGAGTGTATTTAGGCGCTTTTAAAGCATTTTTCATTTATTTTCAAGCTTCAGGCATTTTTGTTTTGGCCAATGGAAATTAAGATCATATTTGACATTGTAAAAATAATCAATTACTACTGCTTACAAAAAATATCACAGGGCTCAATGTCTACCAAGGTTTGCACAGTGAAAATATTTAAAATTTTGACTTCTAAAGGTAACAATTATTACCTCGCAACCAACTTTACACAGGGTTCACACATCGGGGCTGATGCCAAGTATTTGGGTGAGTACTTGTACTCGGCCAAATACTCCCAATGCTTACTTCGATATTGGAACTTCCGGTATCAGGAAGCAAGGCGGTGAGTCATTACATGCCATCGGCTTCCTAATTGGCCGGTAAGCCGGCTCCATGCTACCTCGCCACCAGGGTGGTGGCTTTATGGCCAATCAGGATGCTGGGGAGTGGGTAATGACTCGCCGACCGGCTTCGTGGTTGGCCAGCTTCACAACCAAACAAGAAGCC